TCCCAAAAAAAAAAATGGATTGCCATTGACGATTCGTTCCCCGAAACAGAACAGATTTACAATCTCCTCCGCAATGGAATAAACCTCGTTCCCGAATTTTATTCAAAAAAATCCCCGGGAAAATCCCCAACCAGTTGAACAATTGGTGCGTGTCTCTCCCGGACGCCACGCACACAACCTCCCCTCCCTTCCCCTCCTCCCCCTCCCAAAGATTTCCATCCATGTGTGATCATGCAAGAGGGAGAGAACAGGGCGAGTGAGTGATTGGCACTGGGCTATCCCATTTTCGCGTATTCGATCGTAGCCGATTGGAAATTGAGGGATAAACCTGAGAATATATTGCGCCATACGGTGACCTCGCGCACTCCGAAACCCATTAAATCCTTGGACGATATGGTTTATTTTTTTTCCCAACTCTGTGGGGTAAAATTTCATTTTTTTTTGTTACCATACTCGATTTGGCACAACGGCCAAGCGAAATTGACCGTTGATTGGAAGATTTCATGGGGCTTGGATGGAAACCTAGTAACGTTCAATTAATTATTATTGTCCACCTGCAGTTTATGCTACTCAGTGGTGTACTCCAACCACGATTGTTTCCCTCGTTTTATGGAGTTATGAGTGGTTTTTATGTTAATCTCATTTTTATCTCGTTGAAATCCGAGAACATAAAAAATTGAAAACCATTATTCCGCGGTTTTATGGATGACTCGAAGGCCTCGTTTCTCGTGTAGATATATTTCATGGAGTTTTTCATCAGAATTTTTTACTCGAGGGGCAAAGTATTTCAATCTGGATTATCGGTTGAAAAAATGGAAAAACTGGCGATGCCCACCAGACATTTTTATAAAAGGTCGACGATTTTTGCAAGTGATCAATTAATTGAGCAATTTATTCATTTTATTTATTCATGAATATTTGATTTCGAAACGAAACATCCCTTTCCACTAAAAAATGAGTGGAAAATCTAAGCCGCAGGGAAACTCAAATTGGCTCCCCTTCATTGTTAATCCTTCATTTTCACTCCTCGTTACTTTAGTGACTCGTCATGATAATTACTTATGCCAGGGAAATCCGCACGGAGTGTATTATTCAGGGTTGCGCGGACGGAGGAGTAATACTGTGAGAAAAGAGGAGTTGTCGATCGAATCAACGGGAATGAGTCCCGGGAGAGTAGAATGAGGGAGAGAGAAAGTTTGTTCTCTCTCTATTTTTTTTCTTCCTTCTTCATCTTTTCCTCCCTCCGGCGTTACTTCCTTGCAGTGTATGCCAGGCCCGTCGACAGTCCTGGGCGACCCGACTCATCGGGGTGAGTGAACTTGTACCGCCCGCGGGGGATGAAGAATCGCGGATACCGTTGGCTCTACCATTTTCCCCTCACGATTCCAATAACCTAGAATAATTCGTCAAAACATGATTATTATTTTTTAATGCGGTTCAGAGGATAAATCTTGACGACAGTTACTCCATCATTTTGTTGTAATCTGTTGTGGATCACGTCGATGGTGATGGGTAGGGATGTTGAGATCAACGATAGATTGCTGAAATGATTGTGTAAGGAGAGAAATTTCTGTTGAAAATCCACTCGTGAACGCCATCTGAAAAATGCAATGCGCTCAGTAGAATACGGGAAAAATATACCTGAATTGAGTATATTAATAAAATATACTTAATTCAAGTACATTTAAAAAAATAAAATAAATATTTAATAAAATAAAATATCAATTTTAGTTAATAAAATAAAATATTGAGTGTAAAATCTACTTAATTCAAGTGTATTTTATACTCAATTGGGGGATCGGTATTTCAATTCGAAGATACAAAAATACTGAAAAATACTGAAGACACAAATATTCTAATTATTACTAGAGTTAGTCCTTTTTTTAGCGGAGTTTATGGGATGAAATCGCACACCGGCACAATCGTACGTTTTAAATAAAGTTAAATTTTGTATTTGAGTTGACAGTCATCTAAATTGCGTTGTTTCCAAGCATCGAAAGGCTCCATTTTCTAAAGAAAAGTTGACACCTTCAGAACTCTCTTAAATTAAGACACGACTCTTTACCATGTAATAAATCATTAAACTCCTCGAGTCAATTTCTCCTCTCTAATTTTTTGTATTTTCTTGTGCTCACGTTCAATGCAATTCTCGGAAATAATGAACTGTAACAAATGCCAGAATAACGTCATGAAAGAGCAGGAAAAAAGTTTTCCCGTAAAAGTACTTCCTCCTTAATTAGTTCTAGCGATAAGCAAACATGCAATTAGTTTTTTAGATGTCTGAGGCACAATTCCCCCAAGACAACCGGAGTTTTAGATTAGAATATCCGTCACTTGTCAGCCATTGCGAGTGCATTTTCCCCGAACTTCTCCCGAACTTTTGATCCCCGAAATTAGCATGTGACCCGGGGTTAAAAATTAAGTTAATGAGATTCCGTATTTTCCATTGGCAAGTATTGGTATTCACACACCTCTTCTGCTTACATACTCTCAATTCTCAATAAGCTCCAAAACCCCTTTGACATCCACCCTTCAGTATCCTATCTCGTATAGCACGCTTTGACGCTCTATTCCTGATGCGTTGAAACTGTAATTTACCTCCGAAAAGCCAACGTGATACGACCCATTGGCCCCCGACTAGAGGCTTTGTCCGTCGTGTGTGTGCGGATTCAAACAGTGTGTATCCATGACATTGCACTAGTGCTATACCATCCATATGTACAGCCACATCAAACACATTCAGAGCAGAACTAATCACAGTATTTTTTTTAGATGAAAAGCCAAATATTTGGAGCGGGTGGAAAATGTCATTTCGAGTGACAACTCCATATACAATTCTCAGGAGAGTTCACAGGGAATTTCAATAGGTGGGCTTTTGTTTAATGAATGGCATTCAAGAGTGTTCATGAATTTTTGTAATCATATGATCCAGAAAAGTTGTTCACCGCCGCACGGAGAGAAATTTTTGATAAAAATTATCCTACTGTTCTATAAAAGTGTATCATGAGTCATCGTTTCCTCATTTCTATCCCGAAATTTAGTAAAAATTAATATATGATGATCAAATTTTATTCTACGTTAGAGAAATTTTATTCTGATAAAAATAAAAATTACTGTGCCGGCAGAGTAAAAGTTACTGTATCGGTAGGGTAGAATTTACCAACCGTTCTAGAATTTTCGTTGTTATCTACATAAAAATTATTGGACTGGAAGGGTAAAATTTGCTATGCGTCAGGATAAAATGTCTCAAACGTAGAATAAAATTTGTTCATCATATATTAATTTTTACTACATTTCGGGATAGAAATGAGGAAACGATGACTCATGATACAATTTTATAGAACGGTAGAATAATTTTTATCAAAAATTTCTCTCCGTGCGTGGATCGAACAGTATTTTTTGTCATTTAGTCCGGGAGGCAACACTTCGCGGACTGACAAAAATACTAATTTCTACCCAACTTTTCTATCCGTAATACCGTAAAACGTCCCAATATCCGCCAATTCTCACCTCATTCAATCCGAAGTCACACCATTCATTCCCAACCGACGTCGGTGGCCGAGTGGATTAGACGCAAGTCTAGTGTGCGAAAGGTTGTGAGTTCGATTCCCCGTGGAACCGAATTTTTCAACGGAAGGCTCCGGCGAGCGGGAGGTTGCTAATAGAGGAACCGCCTGTACCGGCATGGGTTTTCTGTGGTTTCCCCATGCTACTTCTATGTTCTATTGGGGACGCTACATAAAAATGCGAGACCTCGTGAGCCCCTGCGTAACTAAAAAACATGGCGGATTTGAAGGTTCTGGCTGCGCGATGACTTGAAAACCGTAAACACCTGCTTCAAAAGTTTATTGAAAATTAATTTGATAAAACACTTGTTTTCATACATAATGCGTTACTGTGAACCTGATTTAGACTTGTTGATGTCATGC